CACGCATCGTGTTGGGGGAGCGGGGTCGAATAGGACATCAGACTGTGAAGAAATAGTAGCAGCGTTATGTGTATATTTATTGCATGTTAAACGCGTAACAAAATGTCCCCCGTGAGCTCGACCGAACGCACTTTCACTTGGCAGGGTCCGCCCCCCCCGCAATTAGCGTGAGTTGGTATGGTCGATGTTGCGCAATAAATAAATATCGGCAAATCACACGAAATCGCTAATTTAACTAATTTAAAGGTGACGGACACGAAAAAGGAATAGCCTATTCCCACCGCGGAGCCGAGGACGTGCCGGCCGCCCCAAAATGTTCGACATATACCCCACCGTCCGAGAGCCAAACCCCTCACAAGCGTGCGCGCGGAGACTTTTTATATATAAAAAAGAGAAGAGAAAAGAAAAGAAAGATATGTTTTGCCTTGGGTCTAATTATCCACGCTCAACTCACGTTGGCTGTAAATCAGCACAGTCCCTTAAGTTATGGCAATCTTCGGGGACACTTCCTGGAGTCGTGGAGTTTTGCCATTACTCGTACGGTACATTTCATTAAAGCATGTTTTTTTTTAAAGTATTTTTAAATATTACTTATTTAGAAGTGACCTGGCCATCACACACGGTAGCTCAACGAAGTTGAATTATCCTCATCAGGCGTAAATGTTTAGCAGTAGCAAAACACTCTAAACGCGTGATTCTAAATGTGGAGGGGAAAAATCAGAGGACCCGAAGAAAAATAATCCATTCGACCACGAGGAGAGAGAGAGACGCAAACTCCAAATATATAGCAGCAGGCATCGTCAGGTCGTGGGCATACATGGTAGTTAACATCTCCCTCGCCACCGTAAAAGCATAACCGTTTAAGTGTCGCTTCTCATCCTTCATCTCGCCTCCCGCGTCTCGCTTCGGTACCCCCCCACCCACCAATACCCGTGGTATTGGTGGCTGGTTCCAAGGCCTCTCCACCGCTATGCTGGTTCCAGGGCCCCGCCACCGCTATGCTGGTTCCAGGGCCCCGCCACCGCTATGCTGGTTCCAGGGCCCCGCCACCGCTATGCTGGTTCCAGGGCCCCGCCACCGCTATGCTGGTTCCAGGGCCCCGCCACCGCTATGCTGGTTCCAGGGCCCCGCCACCGCTATGCTGGTTCCAGGGCCCCGCCACCGCTATGCTGGTTCCGGGGCTCCAACCCGTCGCTCGCTTCCTTCTCGCCGCCTCCTGTTGCTGCTGCTGCTGCAGGGAGGCGACTCCGCTCCCTGCTGCTGCCTCCTGCTGCTGCTCGTCCTGCTGCGCAAGGTCGGGCCTCTCCCTGTGGAGCCACTCGGCTGGGTTCGCCTCTCGCTCTGCTGCTGCTCCTGGCGCTCCTTCGCCTGCTCCCCCCCTCTGATGCGCCTTCTTCCATTGCTCTTCCTGCTCCTTCAACTAAATATTGTGTGTTGTTGTGTTACCGGGTGCAAGGCCCCCTACTTAGCTGTTGTGCAGCCTCCTCTCTGTTGTGAGAGGAGACCCTGGGGCCATCGCCGACTACAGCATCTCCTACCAAGTTGGGCCCTTGCCTGCTACAACACAAATCGAGCTGCAGACAAACATTGTAACAGCTCTGCATCGTCACTCGAGGGGTGCCGGTGCAGCTGTTCACTACCTCGCCTGGTGTACAGGAGGTCGTGGGTTAGATCGTGTTCCAGACGCCTGCTGCTGTGTATTTGGAGTTTGTGTGTGAGCCACTTCGTTGAGCTGTCATTTGTGGCCAGGTCGCTTCTGAAAAAAGAACTACACAGCTCCGTGGGCCGCACCTGATGAAATCAAGTTTAGTTTTATAGATTGACTAAAAGCAAGATGATCTTGAAATGAAAATAGAGTGTTTATAATAATTCTGCACTGAGAGATGTGTCTTATTTGAGAACCCCACGGTGGCTAGGCAATGTTAACTACCTCGCCTGGTATACAGGAGGTCGTGGGTTAGATAGTTTTAAATCGAACCCAAAAAACACCAGTTATGGAATGCAAATGTGATTTGCTGTTTATTATTCTTTGAGTCTTTCGGTAAAGTGACGTAGATAGGATCAAATAAAATAACAAAAAACTACGTTTCGATCGCAACACAAGCGGTCGTCATCAGGAAAATGGGGTTAACCTCTAAAGGCAAACTGTTTATAAAGGTTTAAAAAATTAACCCGTAAAAACAAAGTTTTTCACTATAAATCCTTTATATACTTTCAAGAACCTGGCGGCTTCAATTTAACTGCTCTATAAATAGTCTCCATTGTACAGCGTGGGGGCAGGGATTTCATGCCATATGGTTAGTCAACATTTGGGTCATCATGAAACGGGCGGCTAGAGTCCTCTCGTCCTCTGGCTTGAGATGGCTGCCACCTATGGGTCAGATGATTGTCTGCCACCATTAAGCAATTGGTAATTAATTTTTTTTTTCCCTAAACTGTAAAATTTTGGAATTTTTTTTTACGAAAATTAATTGTCACGCACAACGAGTCTGTGTGCAAAATGTCAGCTCGATTGGATCACGGGAAGTGGGTTAAAAAACGACCGAAAGATTTGCACGGTCGTAAGCAAGCAAGCACGCAAGCAAGCAAGCAAGTGAACTTAATATAAAGGATTTAAAAATGGGTGTAGCCCAAGTGTCCTCAGCATGGGCGGGGCAGCTAATGTTAATGTAAGTGATGGTACTCGTGGAGGGCAACGACGGCACTGGTGGTGGGCTTCCACCAATAAAGGGCTACGATTAGTGGTGATTGTAGTAGTGGGCAGTGATGGTCCCGGTGGTGGGCTTCCACCAATTAAAGGGCTGACAGGTCTAATATGGAAACATTATAGCCAGTTACTTTTTGGTTCTTTCGGTAAAGTCACGTAGAAAGAAAATAAATTAAATAATAGAATACGACGTTTCGATTGCAACACAAGCCATCGTCATCAGGTACAAATGAATGAGAAAAAACAAACTTAGTAAACTTAGAAATATAATGCAATACAACACAGAGAGTCGGCTAACATAACAGTCAACACCCTACCTGGTTGATTGCGTTCTTCCAAAGAGTGCTAAATTTGAGAGAGAGACAAAACACAGACACGGTGACACATAGAGAGACACATAAGCATAGAGAGACAACACAGAGACACACACATAGGCACACAGAGAAACAATGCCTCTGTGTCGAGGCCTTCAGTTTTCAGTTTCATTTATTTAATATCGCCCTGTGAGCCATTCGGCTCTTGAATCGGGTGCAACAGCAACAAACAAAAGACAAAAACATGAAAAAAACATCTTAAAGTGACTAAGTGAAAACAGAAAATTCAGGAAAAAACAACAAAATATTCCAGAAAAAGCACCGTACACCAACGCTGTGTGCAAAAATCCCAGTGGGATGCAAGCCAAACAACAACAACCACAAGACAACTTAGATTAAGGCCATCAGTCTAACTCCGTACTACAACAAACAAACATGGCTAAACCAAAAAACTTTTCGAAATCAATCACCAAAATAAAGCCATAAAAGCAATGTAACAGTGATCATAGGAACTGTAACCGAATTTCACAATAAACGACATAAACAACATGTACCACCAAACCCTGCAGCCATAGCTGGCTGCATGAGTCACTCTTCAACAGCAGGAGCATCAGTCGGAGTATCAAACATTTTCAATGCACCTTTAAGATCAGCACACTAAATCAAAACACAGATCATACTTTGCAGCGGTCATCCGGAGCGAAACATTTTATTTTACCCTTAAATAGAGAGAGAGGGGTTCAGAGAGGGGGGGCGGGTAGAGAAATTTGCATGTCAATGAGAGATTTGGAGCTTTCGTGACTGCAGGAAATACTAGAGAGACAACACAGAGACAGAGAGAATTAACTTAATAAAACAAACTTAGTAAAATTTGGGAAAGTAATGCAATTCAACACAGAGAGTCGGTCAACACACAACGCATAGCCTGGTTGATTACGTTCTTCCAAAGATTGCAAAATTATAACTTAAGTGTGACATTTGAGAGAGACAAGACAGACACGGAGACACAAAGACAGACACACAAGCAGAGAGAGACAACACAGAGAGAGAAAACTAACTTAAATCCTCTCCGTAGAGGTGTTTTAAACTTGATTTGGAGCTTTCGTGACTGCAGGAATTACTTTTTGGTTATTTCGGTAAAGTCACGTTGACAGAAAATAAATTAAATAATACAATACGACATTTCGATTGCAACACAAGCAATCATCATCAGGTTAGAGGCCAACTGAAATTCGGTTTCGGCGCCGAAAGTTGGCAAATGGCCACTTTCGGCATACTTTCGGTTTCGGCCGAAACTGATATTGACTTTCGGTCGTCAACTGAAGATCTATTTAATGTGTGGATCTGGTTACACAATCCGTAAAGCTATCACCCCAACCATTGGTAAAGAACCATTTGAGGACCCAATCAAAACCATCACCTTGCCATACATGGCAGGGGTCACCAAAAATATTTCCAAAATCATTAGCGAACAGGAACCAGGTTAAATTTAACACAGTACATTAAATTCGTGATCTGATCCCATCTGTGAAGGATGTAATCCCTGACATGCAATACCCCGGTGTCGACAAACGGAGCTGTGTCTGCGGCAGTAGTTACATTGGGGAAACTAAGTGACATGTCTCGGACCGTGTTCGTGAACATAAGGCAGATCTGAAACACGGTAGGACCAATACCTCGGCCGAGGCTGATCATTGTTTTAATGCGGTGGGCTCGTACAAAATGTATTTCTCTAAGACGAAGGTACTTTGCAAACCCACTGGCTATCAACAAAGATTCGTTCATGATGCCATCCATATATATACAGACATAGACACAATTTCAACCGCGAAGATGGGTACAAACTCAGTAATTACTGGAAGGACGTTATCAACCAGTTGAAGTCATAACTGGCTATAATGTTTCCATTTTAGACTTGGCAGCCCTTTATTGGTGGAAGCCCATTACCAGTGCCGCCGTGGACCTCTAGGAGTACCATCACTACATTAACATTAGCTGCCCCGCCCATGCTGCTGACATTTGGGCGACGTCCATTTCAAACCTTTATAAACAGTTTGCCTTTAGATGCTAACCCCCTTTTCCTGATGACGACCGCTTGTGTTGCGATCGAAATGTCATCGTTTTTTTTTATTTTCTTTGAACCTATCTACGTCACTTTACCAAAAGACCCAAATACAGTAAAACCTTGGATTGCGAGTATAATTCATTCCGGAAATGTGTTCGTAATCCAAAGCACTCGTATATCAAAGCGAATTTCCCCATAAGAAATAATGGAAACTCAGATGATTTGTTCCTCAACCCAAAAATACTGTATTCATATAAAAATTATTAATACAAAATGCCTTTTTATAGTTTTATTATTTAAATTTAATATAAAGAAATCAAGTTTATTAATTTAATTTAATCGTGGCTGGTGTGAGGGAGACGAGAGAGGAGAGGAGGGTTTCGATTTAAAGCTTTCGTGACTGCAGGGATTCATCTTCTTGGTTCTTTCGGTAAAGTCACGTTAATCCTGCATAATGCACATGCATATGCAGTACTAATCACATTCCTGCATTTCCCATAAATATGCTAAATTTCTTTTGATATACAAATTCCTTTGTCAATGCGCCCAGCTTATATATATGCTCCAAGCTCGTGTGCTGTTTCATTCAGACTCTGTCGCCTCGACGGACCTGGTTTTCACCTGAGGACGGCTGCTTGCGTTGTGGCCGAAACGTCGTGAGAATTGTTTTATTATGTTTTATTTTTATTATTTTATTACTTCCCTTCTACGTGACTTTACCGAAAGAACCAAGAAGATGAGAGGAGGGTTATTGTGTAGGAAAACTTTCACTTGCAGTACAGTTACTAAAGAACAGTCACTATACTTGGACACAAAATAAAAAAAAAATTTACGCACACACTCGTGGTCACAACACTATAGTAAACAGTATACGCTCGCATGGATGTTGACTATACGGGTGAGGCACGCCGACTGAGACCGAGCATGGGAGACGATTACCCACAATCCCACAGCGAGAGAGAGAGAGAGAAGAACCATCGGCTCAGTTGTGATCACGTGACGCTCGGCAGACAAAGCGTATACTGTACGTACTACAGTACTCGTATTGCAAGATCTTGTTCGTTTATAAAATGAATATTTATTTAAATTTTTTGCTCGTCTTGCAAAACACTCACAGACCAAGTTACTCGCAATCCAAGGTTTTACTGTAATATGAATTCCTGCAGTCACGAAAGCTATAAGTCAAGATTTGCTGTTTATTCCCTCGCTCTGCCATCTCTCGGTGAGCAACAGGAGCAGCAGCAGGAATCCCCCATACTGCCGTGTCTTCCTTGGGACGGACGACGACGAGGTGGTAGAGGAGGTGGTGGTGGTGGAGCCCCCTTTTCCGCCCATGGAGTCATTCATTAAACGAGAAGAAGACGACGGAGAGGCTGGCAGTAGGATCTGGCTGGCAGTGAAAGTGGAGACGCAGGGGGAGGAGAGCGGCGGCGACGACGACGACCACGGTGAGAATTTGTCTCCCCCACCCCAGCAGAGACCGCCCATGTGCTCTGTGAGCCCACTCGTTGACAGATCGACATTAAACGTTCGTCTTAACACCCCCCCCGCTCCGTCTTTTTCCCCGTTTCTGAGGCGGCTGCAAGTCGTAGGGCGAGTGGGTTGGGTCGGTGGGTTAGTGCGGTGGAGTGGGTGGGTTGTCCCCGTTCACCACCGTATACACGACTACACACTACAATACTATACACTACTATATACTACACTACACTACTACCCTATACATTACACAACGACACACTACACGACTCTTTGGGTCTTTCGGAAAAGCCACGTCGATAGAAAAATAATTTTAAAAAATATCGCGACGTTTCGATCGCAACACAAGCAATCGTCATCACGTGAAAAAATACAGCAGGAGAATTGCTGAGGCAGGAAAAAATATTTAAATAATTTTTCTTTTCCTGCCTCAGCAGTTCTCAGAGTATGAATTCCTGTAGTCACGAAAGCTTTAGGTCAAGATTTACACACTACACCACTACACACTACACTTCTACACACCACTACTATAGACGACTATATATGACACTACTACCCTATACACTACTATATTATAAACTAGTATACACTACACTATACACTACAATACGCTGCAATATACACTACACTATACACTACACTATATACGATGCAATAAACTACTACGCTATACACTACTACACACCACTCCTAAATACTACACTTCTATACACTACACCATACACTACACTAGTATACACTACACTAATATACACTACACCACTATGCTAACATTGAAAACTAATTTCTTTAGAACTGCTTGTGGTTTATGCTTTAGTTTGTTGTCCTTCCCCCCTTTCCCACGCACTTTCGAATAGCACGGTTCAACAAACACACACGTGTACATTTAGAGAGAGGCATAGTACTAGGAGTGCCGTTGTGCAATTTTAAAGAAGTTGTTTACTCACCGCAGATAATCGTAGTGACACGACCGCCGCCACTCTACGGCAGATGACGCCAAAAGCTGTGCCACACCACAACCCTCCCGTGTGGCCTTGTCGGCAGGAGCCTCGTTACCGATAAAAGTTATTTCACTTTTCGATTTTCTTCCGGCTCTGTTTTTATGACGTACGTAGTGATGTACACGTATATACACATGCGTACACACACGTACGTACACATACATACGTGCACTTACGTAAGTCATTGGTTTTTGTTCCGATTCCGTGTACGATTCCGTGTATGTCATGACATACGTGTACACACACACGTCACCCGCGTTTGGAAGAAAAACCGATGATGTACGTCACGACGTACGTGGACGTGCACGTACGTAAGTCATCGGAACTGAATCGGAAGAAAAACTGATGAAGTACACGTACGTACACTTACGTCATCGTTTGTCTCTCAGTAAAACTCCCGAGTATGCATCTCTTGCGTACGCTTTGTGTGCTGTTGTTGTTCCATCTCTTCATGGGTTGAGAGAATTAGATGACATTTAAGAAGAAGAGCAGCAGTAGGTGGATTATGAGGAGGACACGTCAATCGGAGGGATGACGGCCTTCTGGTCAAGGCTCACATCACAGTGGCATCCATGACAGGGGTTTATTTTTTCGTTGTTGGGTTAGATCGCGTAAATATAAACGTGTCGTTAAACCCGCCTCCGCCACCACCTGACACAGGCAATCAGGAAGGGGATTTGTCACGTTAACAAAACGTGGTTGTTGCGTGTTGGAGAGTAAACCCACAGCACAACATTTACAATTCGAGTAGCCGTGACATTTCGCCAGTAATTACAACAACAACCAGCTTCATCCAGTGATGGAAATTATTGATCGCGAAAGCCTACTACTACAGTCGAACCTCTCTTAACGACCACTCCTGTTAACGACTAATCACTTAATGACGGGGCTCCATGGAGCCCAATGTGTTTGCTTGCCGAACATGCCCCTGTTAGCGATGGGCAGTTGTATGTACAGTCAATATCAATTAATGTATTGATTAACCATGTTTATTTTAATATGATGTCTTTATGTTTTAATGTCAATATTATAAAAGTACGTTTTTTTGGGTGAAAAAGGGTATCGGAACTAATTAAGTCTTTAGCGTGTATCTCCTATATTCACTTAATGACCAAATCACTGACTACATGTTAAAACTGTCACGGTGACAGCCAACAACGCCCGTGAGAGTGGTCACGCTAAACCGTGGAGAAGGAGCGATTTGAATCGGCTCGGCACGTGTTGGTGTCGGATGGATTTTAACATCGCAGGGTCATGAGAGGTGGTCGCGGCTTTGGAAGGACTATCACCCAACAGTGGATTGACCGTGGATGATGATGATGACAGATGGGTTAGATTACATAAACATATGTATCGTTAAACTCACCAACCACCCGACAGCCAATCAGTAAGGGGTTTGTCACATAAACAAAACGAGGCCAATGTGTTACTAATACAGCACTAACCAGTTGTTGTGTGTTGGAGAGTAAACCCACAACGTTACGTGCAACGAGTGTCCGTGCTCGTGAATCTGATTGTGATAAAAAATAAGAATAGGTATTTATTTTGGATACAATTTTGGATACTGGCAAAAAAGGTATCCTATAGATAAAACTGCTCCAGCCGAGCACACAATATGTGTTCTCCTACTTGCTTTGTCTTTGTACTGTTCACCTGTTGGCATTCGCTGTCTCTGGTGTAGACCAATCAGCTTCAAAGACAATGCGTATATTATCAGAGCATGTTTGCACGTGTAGTGTCAGCGGAGCGGGAGACAAGGTTCTTGAGGAGGCACCTTTATTCAACACTTTCAGGTTCACAGATTCGCCCTCGCTTCTCCCAAGTCGTCTAGCCTAGCCTTGACACAATCCTCACCGTGTTACACCGACGGCGCCGACCCAGACAGCCAACAACTATCCAGCCGCGCAATATCTCGCGAAGACGGCAGTGATGAAGGCGGCGAAGACGACAGCGATGACGAGACGAGTCCACTTCCCAGAACCGGCAGCCACGAGCTCCCGCTCTCCGCTGCGTTTATGCTACCCGGCACAGCCTGGCTCTTCCCTGGCCACGCCTCCCTTCTCACTAGCGGGTTCCAGGGGCTTACAGATGGGGTCCTCCCTGACCCTTGCCCCAGTTCCTCCGCCTTGGCGACACACCCGTGTATATGCTCACCGGCGTGTGTACTGCTCGGCCACCGCAGTTGCCATTGCTGGACAACAGACGGCGCTATTACACTACACATGTATCGACACGAGTATGTATGGTTAATGCAGACTTTATGCCTTGCAAAAAGGTATCTCTCCGGTGTTGGAACATCTTTACACAACTCCTATTTTATTATTGCCAGAAAAGGTAATTTTTTTTTTCTTATTTTTTCTTTTCATCTCTTTTTTTTGTATACTGGCAGAAAAAAAGGTATCCCGTAGGTATATAACCTGTTCATTGTTCGCCTGCGATGTTTCATCTCTCGGCCGAAGGGGCGGACGTGCGTGCCGGAGAGGAGGATGGTCGAGAACTTCAGGTCAAACGAGAGGCGCGGGAGGTTGAACGAAGGGACCTGCACATTGTGGAGGTCGACCCTCAAGATCCGCTGGTTGGCGACGGTTCATCTGTGAGACCTGGAGAGTCGCGGGGGGATTGTTTGGGATCGTCAGGCGTGGCGGAGATCGAAGTGGAGGTGGGCGACGACGACGATGGTGACGGTGAGGGAGGGGAGGGAATTCCGATGGATCTTGGTCGCTGTGAGGGGTGAGGTCTGGTACAGAGGCCTCTCCAAGCTGTCGATGTGGTGGTAGAGATGGAGATGGCTTTGGGGGACTTAAGTGATAAGCGTACAGAGGAGCTCCATGTGTATGTTTGGGGGTGCTGTGGTGACTTAGAAATGTTAACTTCCTCGCCTGATATACATGAGGTTGTGGGTTTGATCCCGACACTGACGCCTGCTGTATATTTGGAGTTTGCCTGTCTCTCTCTCTGTGGTTGCATGGATTTTTAGCCGGGTCCTCCGGTTTTTCCCTCCACATCTAGAATGATCCACATGATGATAAGCCACTTCGTTGAGCTATCACTTGTGATAGGCAAGTCACTTACCTGGTAAAATAATGAAAAATGGTTTAATTTAGTTTAAGTGTCGTAGTATGATGTTCACAGCCCCCTCACCAATGACTGCATCAACAACAAAAATTAGTCGCGTAAAATGTGGGTCTACAACAATTAATTTGGCCACACTACATCTCTGGTAATGTAAATATTGGTTTTACCATCAGGAAAAAAAACGTTACTCTCACGTGGCAGGGCAGGTAGAGAAAGTGCTTCTCCTTTCCACGTGCTATATCAGAGGTCATTTTAAAAGGCTCTTCAAACGGTGGTTTGGTGATAACTGCTTCCGTGGGCCTTTCTCTCATGTTAACTCTGCGAGGGGGGGGGGGGCATCCAAACGGATTCTTCCGTCTCACGGCGTGACGACAAATAGGTGTGGGGAAAAAAACAACAACGGTCTGAACGTTTGTGTGACAGGGATGGTCGTGGACGGTGCCCCGGAAACGCTCTCCCATGTGAAAAAATCCACCGGGACGACCGCCACAGCGACAACGACGACCCGCGCCGGAGAGAGATCACACGGCTGCTCGGTGTGCGGCAAGAGCTTTGTCCGCCCGTCGGACCTCAGGAACCACGCGATGAGCCACACGGGAGAGAAGCCGCACAAGTGCTGCGTGTGCCAGAGGGCATTTGTCGCCGTGTCCAACCTCAAGAACCACATGAGGGTCCACAGGGGAGGGAAGCCGCACTCGTGCTCCGTGTGCGGCAAGGAATTCAGCCGCCCCTCGGCCCTGGCGACGCACGCCGCGATTCATGCCGTGCAGAAACCGAACGTGTGCCCCGTGTGCGGGAAGGGCTTCAGTCGCCCGTTCACCCTCAAGTGCCACTTGGCGGTCCACTCGGCCGACTGCCCGCACGAGTGCCTGGTATGCGGGAAGGGGTTTGGCAAGGAGACGCAGCTGAGGAACCACGAGATGATCCACACGGGCAAGTGGCCCCACGTGTGCACCGTGTGCGGGAAGGGCTTCGGGCGCCCGTTCGCGCTGAAGGCCCATGCGATGATCCACACGGGCGAGAGGCCCCACGTGTGCACCGTGTGCGGGAAGGGCTTTGGCCGCCTGTCCACCCTTCAGAACCATGCGGCCTCGCACACCGGTGAGAGGGCGCACCGATGCCTGGTGTGCGGCAAGGGCTTCAGTCGCCCGTCGGCCATCAGGGGCCACATGGCGCTGCACACAGGTGAGAGCCCGCACCGGTGCCCCGTGTGCGGCAAGGGGTTCACCGAGTCGACGCAGCTCAAGAGGCACGTGAAGAGCCACACGGGAGAGTGGAGCCACCGCTGCTCCGTGTGCCAGAGAGGGTTCTTCCGCCCATCGGAACTGAAAACTCACATGATGAACCACACGGGGGAGAGGCCGCACGAGTGCTCGGCGTGCGGGAAGGCCTTCAAGCAGTACGCAGCCCTGAGGACCCACATGATGAGCCACACGGGAGAGAGGCCGCACAAGTGCTCGGTGTGCGAGAAGGACTTCGTGCATCACGCAGGCCTCAAGACCCACATGCTGACGCACACGGGAGAGAGGCCGCACAAGTGCTCGGCGTGTGGCAAGGACTTCGTCTACACCGCATCCCTGAAGAGCCACATGAAGACGCACACGGGAGAGAAGCCGTACAAGTGCCCCGTGTGCGAGAGGGACTTCCGGCACTCCACGACCCTGAAGAATCACGTGAAGACACACGTGGGAGAAGGAACTTGCGCGATCGGTGAGCAGGAGTAGTTTTGATTTGTCAAGCCCTTTGTGAGAGGTGCACATGGTACACGGCAAGTTGTATACAATTGGTGTCAGAGGCTGTGCGTGCTCCATGCTGTGGGATAGTCAGGGCTCATAGTACCGATCATATCACAGAATCCGAACATTTATTTAAACGGCAGGAGGAATCCGATGAGCTATAAAGCTCTCTTTCACAGATGTCCAGTAGGGGCACGAGGGCATAACGTTATAACAACAATACACAGTACACACAAACACGATATGAGTACAAAGTACAAGACAGGTAAACAAATCACCCAAACACATACAAATAAAACGAAACCATCCCGATCCTACCAGGCAAAGCCCACTGGTATTTACTAATTTTTCAGAAGCGACCTGGAGAACACAAATGATATCTAAACAAAGTGACGTCATCTGCAAAAAGCAACGACGCCGCCTCCATGCCCCTGTACTGGAAACTCTCCCTACCTCGGCTGCACCTTGATATCCTCCCCATGAAAATCACAAACCGGGGTGGAGACAAGATGCACCCTTGGCGTAACTTTGCCTCGGTTATTCATGAGCCTGTGAATCCAATGGAGGTGAGAACTCAATTGTTCCCAAGAAGCCACCTTCCTCTTTCCCCCACTGGAAATACATCAAAATTGATGCTCTTGATTTTGGTAAACTTCATGACCTGCTCTCGAAAAGGACAACAATATGCAACTTTGTCAGATGCGGCTTCAGCCAAGGAGCTACAGGAGAGCTCGAACTGGACGGTCACGTCAATGACGAGTGTGTGGTCACCTCTGGCAACAATCAGATAAAGTTTCCCGTAGATCACGTTTATCAATTCTCAAATAGGGCTCCTTGTAGATCGACCAACCCATTTCCACCGCTTCTACTGCCAAGGTGTCACATTTTATTGCGGAGTGCATTCCTGGCTTTCTGGACCGCTGGACACTGTCCAAGTATGTGTGAAAGGGATTCAAGTCGGGGCGAGCATTTCCTACAGGACCGCAGGGCTCCTTCCCTGCCTCTCTTCAGGCTCTCCCTTATTGGGTATATATTACTCCGCAGTTGTTATGCAGCGATGTTGTGGCACTCTGAAGTGACGCATTGCTGACTTTACCCTCTGCAAAGTTCACAATACCTATACCTTCAACTGGTCTTTCACACCATCTTCAAAACTTCACGCTGCCTCTAGTCGCATGGTATCGACCAAATGGGTTTTTTTGGTGCCTTGAAATTCCACCCCTCTCAGCTCATATTGGGATATGGAATTTGTCTCTTTTCCTGGCCCATACCCACACCTTGAGTGGACACTATATTGCGGGTGACCTTGTCCGAGGATTTTTTTACACCGTGCAGCCTCAAATGAACCGATGGGATCATACTCTCTAGTGTAATAATGCCTAGACCTCCGTCTCAGGTCCGAGAGTCCAAACCCCATCACAGGTGGAGGCAGAAAGGTGTAACAGTTGGTTTACCCCATTTATATTCTCCTGATCTAGCGTGAGGAGAGTAGACGATTTATAATATCAATGATCGTTCTGCTGGGTAGATGAATCTGGGGGGTACAGGCATACCCCGTTTAGCACGGGAGATGCTTGCCTGGAAAGCGCTTGGTGAATGGGCGCTATATACGGGGTCATAACATAGGCCCTATGGAGATGTGTTTCCGACATCGTAATTTATCACCTACAACCAACACACTTGATTTGAGGCTTTCGTGACTGCAGGAATCCATACTCTTTGGTTCTTTCGGTAAAGTCACGTAGAAAGAACCAAAGAGTATGACCAACACATTAGGGGTTCATTGGGTTATTGGAACAATATTACGGATGATAAACATGACTTATAAATACTGTTAATGGTACAAAATTTTTAAATAACCACCAGTGCATGGTGCGACCCCGATATGGTGAACTTGGCAGCGCTGGGAGACGAGATGGGAGTTGCAGCATCCGCCCAGTTGCGCAGTCCAATCTGTGACTTGGCTTCCACGGCCCCCACCCCACCCCGGTTTTAGAGGAAAGCGCTCATTGGCGGAGAGCGAACACCGCGCTAACTCGACTATGATAGCACTCGCTCATTGGCTGAGGGTGGAGAGCGTGAAAGGGCACTAATACTGAACAGGATTTGGACGAGAGCCTACACCGCGCTAACTCAAGCACGGCTTTTTATCTTTATTTAAATTTACTGAACGTTAAGTATGTAATGTTTTTTTGTAATAAACACTGTATATATTTCGTTAAAATAAAAATTTGCCCGAGAACAAATAGCTCTATAACGAATCAGTGCTGTACGCAGTAGCGCTAAACGGGGTGTGCCTGTACATACACGTTAAGAAGCTCCACTTTCTGGGCGGGTTTAAGTGGAGCTTAATCAATCTTGGACATCCAGTCCTTCAATTGCACTGTCATACCTGGATTTTAAAATACATGTCCATGGACTGATGTTTACACCCAGGTATTTAATAGCCTCATCAAGTGGAGTGTTGCATCACAGACACTCCATGGCCTACAATTGGTAACTGTGTATGAATCTTTCGTTGGAGTAAGCATAAAGCCATGGAATTTCTTGGCTTGAACAACTAGCCCAGGTAATTTGCATAAGGATTCCAGGATGCCGATATTTGTGGCCATTTCCTCACAATTTACTCACTCGCATCAGATCATCGGCAAACAGGAGTGAAGTAACTGTTAGATTTGATTGAATATCCAACTCCGTATATTTCTAGGGCAGATACCAGCGGGTCCATAGTCGGGTTAAATATCAGGGGTGACATGGCGTCGCCCTGCTTCACACCAGCTTTGTTGTTGATGTCTGGTGTCCAGACCCCTTTGATCTCAAATGATGTGGCATTCTCATCGGCGTTTTGAATGATGCCAACCATGTGCTCATTGACTTTCATGTACCTCAGAACCCACAAGATGTGGGCATGGGACACGGAATCAAACGCCTTTGCTACGTCAACAAACTCCACTTCAAGCGACTTGCGCGTTATCTTTACATGCTTCATAAGGCCTTGCAACACCTTAACATTTTCCGAGCAGCCTGGTGCAGCTAGGAATCCACGTTGTCGAGCATTCAGAGGACAGGCATGTTCCAGCCTCGCTGTCAGAATCCTGGAGAACAACCTCAGGATCATACACACAAAATCGTTATTGGTCTCCAATTACCGAGGTATACCGAAGTACTTAAGTTCTTCCTCATTCGTGACCTTGGGAATTGGGATCGATCTGTTCCTCTTTGCATTTTGGGGGATGACACCAGTGATCAGCCAGGCATTAAATAGGGCAGCCAATGCTCACCCTTCAGGATCCACTTTAATTATTGATTACTTAAGAATGCTATCTGGATCTGCTGTGGAAGACTATGTAATAGCACCCATGCACGGCCAGCAATTCTTCCTTTGAGATTAGGGATTCAAAGGGCAAATTTTTCGCTGACCTTGATGACTTAAAGTGACCCAGCCCTGGGAATGGAACAATAGTTTCCCACTTATTACAATGACTCGTAAATGTCACTAAGTGGTACTTTGCAACTCTGATGTTCCGTGCCAACAAGGACCAAGGAGGCGAGCTGAGAGCAGTTCTTTGAAAATAAGCTTTGGTATTTCATGTACCTATCTCTCTTCTCAACCATATTCTTCATTCTAGACTCTGCATCGGTGGGGTCCTGGAATGTGGCGTTTTTGGTTTCCTCAACCTCATCGCTCGTAGTACTGCTGCTGTGGCCGAGTTAACGAAGTCATCATACTGCCCGATCACATTCGATGCTGGCTTTTCTTGGTGCCCAATCCTACTGGCACACAGCTGCTTCACTGAGCTTAGCCCCTATCGTCTCACTCGGTGGGGCCGACATTGTTCGAAGCTGGCTTCAAAGGAACCTTTTTCCGCTTATTCAGGTTTCGTCTCTTATCCGAGATTTGCCGGCTAGTTTTAGTCACCAGTACCTCAGCAAATAATATTTTTGATTTTTATTTTCCCTTGACAATGTATGTCGAGTCGAGCTATGTTTGCTCTTTTTCAGAAGCGACCTGGCCACAAATAATAGCTCAACGAAGTAGCTTCTGAGGAAATTTATAGCAGCTAAATTATCTTAAACGCGCATTTCTAAATGTGGAGGGGGAAACCGGAGGACCCGGAGAAAAATCCATGTGATCACGGGGAGATCATGCAAACTTCAAATATACAGCAGGCGTTAAGGGTCAGAATCGAACCCACGACCTCCTGTACACTAGGCGAGATAGTTAACATCTAGCCACCATTCCACCACGTTACAGGAGAACAGACTTTCGATTAGACGGGGGGAAATTATTCCCAACACAGGACACCGGGTGCACCCAGAGAAAATCCAAACACACCAGTGGCCTAACACTCAACTGCCCCACGCGGATGAGTTCAACGCATGTGTTCTTGTTGTAGTCCCACCGCCGATCCGCCTTGTGGCCCAACGGGTTCCGGGTTCGGGTAGTCATCAGTGCCGGATTAAGCTAGTGCGGGGCCTGTAGTATCTTTATCTTCCTACTAGCCAGTGGCGGCTCGTCAATAGAGGGCGCAGGGGCGCCGCCCCCATCAATATTCAAGAAATATATATATACAAAATTTATATAAAAATACATAAATAAAATATTTTTTTCATACGATGTGCCGGCTGGTAGTAAGAAAAGCATCAGCATTTAATAAAAACTGGCTTTAATCGGTCAACTATTTTCTATGTTTTTCAATGTGTTTCATGCGGGGCGCCGGACAAATGGATGTCTATGTGAGACTTTACATTTTCGGACAGCATGTGACCTGAAGCTGGTCTCTAATTGGTTTCTTAAAGATTCTCCTCGGGGCGCAAGTCGTTGCGTCCCTGGCCAATCAGAATTGGATACATGTTATTTTATCCAATCTGATTGGTTCTCGTCACCTGTCATTCAAATTTACGCTGTAGGCCACTACTGCGAGTGCGAAGGCGACACCACTTTGACACTTGCTAGGCTGATCAAATTTTTTGTGTAAACAATGGCAGCAGTTCATCCAAATTCTGTAATTTATTTACAAAAAAACCCTTTCACAAGGCTTTCGCTGGAAGAAATAAAAAAGATAAAGGATCTCGGACCGGACCAACCCGATTTACAAATCCAGCAGCAGGCCAGTGACAGAGGACGAAGCTACACACGAAGCTTCACCCGCGCTTGTTATGAGAAACGGAGGTGGCTGGCTGGATGTGATGTTAGCAATTCTCTTTTTTGTTTTCCCTGTCTTTTATTTCAAAGTGTCGGCACTGAAGTTTTGTGGACAACGACGGGGGTAAGAGACCTCAAACATCTCTCTGACAAATGCAAACGTCATGAAAGTAGCCGCAGCCATATTGATAATAGCATGAAACTAACGTTTTTATGTTCAAGTAGGAAACATGCTTTTTGGTACTTTGGTCTGAAATGTATATAAAAGAGAAACATTTATGTTCAAGTAGGAAACATGCTTTTTGGTACTTTGGTCTGAAATGTAAATAAAGATCATCAAAATTTATATTCAAGTAGTCAAAATGGTTTTTGGTACTGCTTTATATTTATTTGCCCCCCTCAATAAAATAAAAAAAATGCGCCCCCCCAAAAATAAATATCACCAGCCGCCACTGCTACTAGCGGTAAGTACCTGGCGTTGCCCGGGCGAAAAATACAGACACACACATCGACTTACACACACTTTCAATGTACATGAGTTTAGCGGAAGAAGCAAGGAACAGAAATATTATTTGTCCGCACGAAAAATAATTATGATTGTAATATTAGCAAGGTGATTATTTGAGAAATAGGTTTATATCAACTTGATTTGACACAATAACAAATATATCAACGCAGAGCAAGGTATAAATAAATTATGAGTTGTGAGCACACAAACGAAAATATGAGCACACAAACGAAAATATGTGAATATTTGCAAGGTGATTATTAAAATACCAGGTTTGTGTGTACATGAGTTGAGCAAAAGAAGCAAGGAATAGAAAAATTCGTTGTCTGCAAACAAACAAATGTACATTCATTGTGTCTTTCGGTTAAGTCACGTAGATAGAAAAGAAATTAACAGTGTAATAAATCTCAATACCATACAACAACAACCAGCATTCGGCACTAAGTGGCGGTGACGTCACCACGACGCTTGTGGCAGGCTCTATGCACCTTGAGGCCACGAAGCGTCGAACGCTCGCTGGCAGGAGGTGACGGGGCAGACCCAGATACAACAAGTCGACTGACTGAGACGACCGAGATGACTCGCTGATGCACCACCTGTGCCCCCTACTGTGCCAACTTGCTGTGCTTTAGCCACACGGCGTTCCGCCCATTGTTGTGAACGTCGCTTCTCCGCCCTCCGTTGTTGGAGGACGACTGCCTCCAACTGGCCAGTAGTGTCCTTCACGAGGCTCCTCCACAGAGGCCGATCTTTATAGAACTGGTAGCAGTCATCGGCAAGTCCACTCCGCTCCACATCCTCCTGTATCACATCACTCCATCGCTTCTCTAGCCCGTGGCGCGCCCGTTTAGCCCCAACGATCCGGCCAAACAAAAGCTGTTTAGGGATGCGGTGGCTGGGCATGCGGGCTACATGGGCCAGGCCAACGCAGCCTTGCCTTCCGGAGGAGCTCACCGCTGGGACTTTGTACACATCTTTAAAGGATTTGTGAGCTAACAATCCAGCATGGTTAGACCCAGGATGGATCGTAGGCAGGCCAGCCTAAATGTTTCTAACCGGCGAAGATGTTCCATTAGGGGGGTCCACGTTTCGCAAGCGTAGAGAAGGGAGGAAATGACTGTGGCCGAGAACACCTGAAGCTTCCACACAGCGTTACGCAACCAATGAAAAGATATTGCCGCTCGACTGATTAGGAGTGAGACCTCTGCTGTTAAACTGGAGCCGGTCATAAGCACACTGCCCAGGTATGGGAAACTCTCCACACTTTCCACAACTGGCCCATCACCGATTGGGAGTTGTGGGGGTGGAGTGTCCGATGGTATAAAATACCCAGGCAGGTGCTTAGTTTTGGTGGGGCTGATGGTAAGGCCCCACCTCTTAGTGGCACGCTCCTGTCTCAGCAGCAGCATCTCCAACTCCTCTGAATGAGCAGCTATTACCAAATCATCGGCATACATAACGTAATTGACCAATAGGGAGCCATCCCTTGATCGCACCCGGGCATCGATCAGCCTCCCATTATATCTGTACCAAATGGAAATTCCCCCAGTACAGCTATTGAAGGCTTCACGAACTACTTGGTGAAAATAGATGTTAAATAATGTGGGAGCCAGAGGACATCCGTCACACCCCAAGGTGTACAGGGAATGGCTCTGACTCCCGGCCACGTAGTTTAACCTGGGCCCGCTCGCCATCATGAAGGTCCTTAATGATCGTGAGCAGAGGGTCAGGGACTCCGAAAGCACGAAGAACCCAGAGCCCAGGCCTACTGATGGTATCATAGGCCTTGACCAGGTCAATAAAGCAGAGATGTAGTTCTTGTTGGAATTCCCTACACCTCTGCTGTAGCAGACGGACAGAAAATATGGCATCTGTGCAGGACCGCCCTTTCCTGAAACCGCATTGGAGCTCTGCAAGCCTCTCCTCAGCGTGCCGAGCAAGGCGATGTTGAATAATCCTTGCCAGGACCTTTCCCGGCACACTGAGGAGTGGGATGCCCCTGTAGTTGTTACAGTCTGTGCGGTCCCTCTTCTTAAAGAGGGGGACCACCAGGGCATCCTTCCAATCCTGCGGAACCCGTCCAGTAGTCCAGACTGTTATGATGTCATATTGGGCAGTCTGTGCACAAATGCCACCCTCCCTCAGCATTTCGCTTAGGAGATCATCTCTGCCTGGTGCCTTTCCTGGTCTCAGACTTGCCTTCAGTACTTCCTCAGCAGATGGCACCTCAGCCAGCCACTCACACGGGGTGACTTCTTCCAATATACAGGTACGAACAATGTTCCATACTGCCCACCAGGGATTTTTTGTCTGTCTGTCGTGCATAAATAAATATATAATACAAACAGCTCTTTGATTGGTGGAGACCTACTGCCGGGTATGGAGAGGGGCCGAAGGGAAGCGGGGTCAGGGGAGGGGCCTAAGGATATGGGGGGGGGGTGGTCAGGGGAGGGGCCTAAGGGAGGGGGGGTCAGCGGAGGGTCCTGAGGGAGGGTGGTAAGGGGAGGTGCCTAAGCAAGGGGGAGGGGCCGATAGTTAAGGAGGTTGAGGATGTCGGGGAGGGTGGGGGGAAGGTAAACACGCCCACTCATCCAACTGCCCCCCCCCCCGAACGCCGCGCTGAGTGTGTGTGTGAGTCTGAGAGTGTGTGTGCGTGAGTCTGAAAGTGTGAGAGTGAGTGTGTGTGTGAGAGTGAGTGTGTGCGAGTCTGAGAGTGAGTGTGTGTGTGAGTCTGAGAGTGAGTGTGTGTGTGAGTCTGAGAGTGTGTGTGTGAGTCTGAGAGTGTGAGATGTGAGTGTGAGTCTGAGAGTGTGAGATGTGAGTGTGTGTGTGAGTCTGAGAGTGAGTGTGTGTGTGAGTCTGAGAGTGTGAGCGTGAGTGTGTGTCTGAGAGTGTAAGAGTGAGTGTGTGTGTGTGAGTCTCAGAGTGTGAGCGTGAGTGTGTGTGAGTCTGAGAGTGTGAGAGTGTGTGTGTGTGCGTCTCAGAGTGTGAGCGTGAGTGTGTGTGTGAGTCTGAGAGTGTAAGAGTGTTTGTGTGTGTCTGAGAGTGTGAGAGTGTGTGTGTGTGTGAGTCTGAGAGTGTGTGTGTGAGTCTGAGAGTGTGAGTGTGTGTGAGTCTCAGAGTGTGAGAGTGTGTGTGAGTCTAAAAATGTGAGAGTGAGTGTGTGTGCGTGAGTCTGAGAGTGAGTGCATGTGTGTGTGAGTCTGAGAGTCTGAGAGTGTGAGAGGGAGTGTATGTGTGTGCAAGTCTGAGAGTGTGACATTGAGTGTGTGTGTGTGAGTCTGAGAGTGTGAGAGTGTGTGTGTGTGAGTCTGAGAGTGAGTGTGTGAGTCTGAGAGTGTGAGAGTGAGTGTGTGTGTGTGAGTCTGAGAGAGTGAGAGTGAGTGTATGTTTGTGTAAGTCTTTGTTACCTAGAGTGTTATACAGGTAGGAACAACAGGTTCCACACTGCCCACCAGGGATTATGTGTCTGTATGTCGTGCATATCCGGAAACCCGCCCACCCATTCACCTCCCCACCGAACACCAAGCTACGCTGCGATTGGTTGACGATGTCGGGGAGGGTGGGGGGGAAGGGTCAACATGCCCACTCATCCAACTGCCCCCCCCACCCGAACGTCGCACTGTCCAATCAAGTTCCTACCTGCCCACTCCGAAGGAACGTGTTTTGAGGCATCGCAGCCTCAGCAGGGTCATCCCCACTTTGTGCCATGATGTTTTCCTGGCTGAGAGATTTCCCCTCCCACAGGAACTCACAGAAATGCTCAGCAAATCTGCAAACCTGTTCCTGGGGGTCGGAGATTGGATCACCGTTTTTTCCCCTAATGATGGTTAATAAGTATGGCGCTGCAGGTTACTTTTTTGATGGAGTTAAATAGGGATTTGTGATCACGGGCCACTGAGGCAGACTGCATCTCCTCAGCAACCCGCGACCACCACCCATCCTTGCAGCGCCTTACGGCTCTCCGAAGCTCCGAGCAAAGGCTGCGGTAAGCCTCCTCATTCTCTGATGTGGGATGCTGTAGCCGATGAGAGTGGGCCTGTTGCTTTTTCTCAACTATCCTGAACACCTCTTCTGTCAGCCAGGGTCTCTGGGGAGGTCTGGACCACGTACCCAAAGCAGCCGTTGCAGCTGCATGAGTCACAGTCCTAAACCTCGCCCATTTACCCTCAACATCAGGAGGAGTGGGGGACGATGCCAACCCCAGCTGCAAGCGATGATGA